TTCATTCTGGACTCCTGTCATGACAATAATACCTATTCATATATCCCTTTTAAACAGTTCTCTCTCTCATCTGTCTTAATACAGTATACATTATTTATCCACTCTTTCTCAGTCTTCCCTCAACTCTAATGCCAGTCCTGTTTTACAACAGTAGCAATATGCAATATTCGTACTTTTGTGACTGAGATTATTTCACTAAGCATAATGTCCTTCAGGGTTACCCGTTTTGAGTAGTATTTCATGAGTCCCTTGTTTTTTTCAATGCAGCAAAGACTCCATTATGTGAATATGCCAGAGCTGCTCTATCCATACATTTGTTGATGGGCACTTGGGTTGTTTCCAACTCCTTGCTATTGTGAACAAAGCCGCAATATACATGTGTGTGCATATATCTGCTTGGGTGGCAGTTATGGTTTCTTTAGGGTATATTCCCAGTAGTGGAACTGCTGGGTCAAATGTTATTTCTATTTGCAACTTTGTGAGAAAGTGCCATACAGCCTTCCATAGTGGTTGCATCATTTTACACTCCTACCAACAGTGAATAAAGGATCCAGTTTCTCCACAACCTCACCAGCATTTGTTGTTTGCTGCTTTGTTAAATTTTGTTATTCTTACTGAGGTGAGATGATATCACATAGTTGTTTTGATTTGCATCTCTCTTAGAGCTAGAGATTTTGAACATTTCTTCAAGTGTTTGTTTGCCATCTGAATGTCTTCTTTGGTGAACTCTGTTCATATCCTGTGCCAGTTTTTCAGTTGTGTTATTTACCTTTATCTTGTTGTGGTGCCCGAGTATTTTTAAATTCTAGGTATAAGTCCCTTTTCTGACATGTCATTACCAAATATTTTTTTCCCAATCTGTGACTTCCCTTTTTAGCCTGTTGGAGAAGTTTCTGGATGTGCATAGGATTTGATTATTAAAAGGTCCTATTCATCTATTTTTATCCTCTCCTGGTTGTCTATTTCTATTTCATCTTCTTTGGCTCTGATTGTTGGTGCAGATATCTTAATGACTGTGGCAGTCACTAGATTTCCTTGTATGTGTATGGAATCTTGTCGCTCACAATATTGTATTTCAAGATATATCCAGAAATGACTTTTTTAACTATGAAAGGAACCCCAATTTTCTTCACCTTTTCATCTTCAGAGTAGTAGATCATATGATCTTTTGACTCAAAATGCCCCATGCCAATCCATTTCATCTTGGCAATACCTAGTATGTCAATATTTATGCGATCCATTTCTTCCTTAATAGTACCTAATTTTTACACATTCATGGTTTTCATATTCCATGTTCCAATCATTAGTGTCTGCTTACAACTGCTCCACTTCCTTTGTATTTCCATACTTCAGAATGCCACCTCATTTGCCTGTTAAGTCTACATTTGTTCTAGTGTACATAGGGTTGTCAGAAGCCCGGGTTAAACCTGGCTGCTTCTTGGAGGCAAGGATTCTGAAGCTTCATGTGACATACTCTGGACATATTGCAAGGAAGGACCAGTCCTTGGATAGGGATGTCATGCTTGGGAAGGTGGAAAGACAGCACAGGAGAGGAAGACCCTCTATGAGGTGGATTGATTCACTGACCAGGGTACTAGGGGCAGGTGTGTTGGAGACAGTGAGACTGGCACAAAATAGAGCAGGGTTTAAGACTGTGTACATAGGGTCACTATGAGTTGCAGGTGACTCGACGGCACATAACAACAAGAACAAGCCTTTGTTATGCCCTCTCTTCTCAAATCATACAAATAGTATTTTTCCTCTGGTAGCAATGCTACTTTATCCTGATTTTTTATCATATATATTTATTGTATACTTTATACGTAATCATATTCAATCTTCTGGGAGAGGCAGTGTAAATTAAATTAGTCTTTTTGAGCCTCTACTCGGTCATTGATATAAGTAGTCTACTGACTATTTCACAAGGTTTTTAAGCAAACAAACAAACTTGAAAAACCCTACAAACCAAAATGAAAACATTTATTAAATGTCAAACATTACCACGGCTGCACTTTCTTCCACAATCTACCTCTCCTTTATGAATTATAAATTTTTTGAGGAGGGGGGTAATGCATATATTAGGGGTTTTTTGGTTTGTTTTTTATTAGTTTTCTTTAATTCTACTTCAAAAAGTGGAAATATTTCTGATAGGCCCTGCAGGGCTGACTCACTCCTGGGCGACAACCTAGCTTGGTAACAACTGTCACAGCCAATCAGCATGCTCCACAATTGCTTCCTCTGCCAAGAGACTTGGCGCCTAGCAAAGTCATCAGCTGCTGCCTAACCGTACCAACAGCTGCAGCCAACCAGCATGCTCCATGACTACTTCTGCAAGGAGACTGCCTGTTTAACAGCATCACCACTAGTGCTGGCAGCTGTGGCCAACCTACATGCTATACTACTACTTCCTCTGCCAGAAGACAGCCCCTTCCTTCCCAGTCTTTTAAAAGGTCACTTCTTCACGCCATGTGCGAGCTTCTCTTTCAGCCTGTCTTTTTGTCTGCCACCCCCCCCCACCCCGTTCCCACCCATCCTGGGGCAGAGAACCTCACCCAAGAGGCTCAATAAAAGCTTCTTTGCTTACTTTTGGTTTCTGCGCCTGTTTTACCTAACAATTTTTCTTTAAAACTACTTCCAAAAGTGGAAACAGTATCTTTGTTTTCCCCTGGTATAGACAATTTAAGCACTTAGTTGCTAATGAAAGGTTGGTTCAATACACTCAGTGACTCCCTAGGAGAAGACTTAATTATCTGTATACTTAATGGATACGCCCTGCAAAACTCTGTGAAGCAGTTCTTCTTTGTCATATGAGGTTGCAAAGAGCAAAAAGTCAACTGGGCAACACCTAACATACATACAATATGACCTACGTACATTTAAAATTAGGGAAAGTGTGCATCAAGATTGTATTCTCTCTCCATACCTATTTAATCTGTATGCTGAGCAAATTACTTGAGAAATTGGACTCTATGAAGAAGAATGTAGCATTAGGATTGGAGGAAGACTAATCAAAAACCCACACTTTGCAGATGAACAATCTTGCTTGCTGAAAGTGAGGAGGACTTGGAGTATTTGTTGCAGAAGGTTAAATACATCAACTTTCAATATGAATTGCATCTCAACAACAAGAATACAAAAATCCTCAACACTGGATGGTCAAGCAACATCATGATAGATGGCGAAGACTGAGACTGTCAATAACATCCTTGTACATGGATCCACAGTCAATACACTTGATAGCAGCAGCCAGGAGATCAGCAGATGTATTGCACTGGGAAAGTCTGTAGTAGGGACCTCTTCAAATTGCTGAGAACCAACGTTTTAAGTTTAAGGACTAACGTGTGCCTGATTCAGGCCACAGTCTTTTAAATCACTTGATATGCTCCTAAGAGCTGAACAATTAAGAAGAATCAATGCCTCTGAACTGTAGTGGTGGAGAAGAGAATATCCAATGGACTTTCAAAGGAACAAATAATTGTGTTTTGGAGAAGGTGTAACCAGAGTGCTCGTTGGAGGCATAGTGACGAAGCTATGTCTCACATAGTTTAGACATGTTATTCTTTGGAAAGGGACATCATATTTGCAAAGGTAGAGAGATGGCAGCTGATAGGAAGACCATCAACTAGGTGAACTGACACAATGACTACTGTAAGGGGTTGGATGTGTCAGAGATTGTGAGGCTGGCATAAGACAAAACAAGGTTTAGATACATCACTATGAATCATACATAACTCAACATCATCTAACAATAACAAACATACATAACCTACATATAGCGATCTGTCTTATAAAGACTTAATTCCATAAACTGTTAAAAATACAATCAAGTCTGCCTTGGAAGAAGTGCAACCTGGATACTCTTTAGAGACAAGGAAGGTGAAACTTCATCTCACATACTCAGGTTATGTTGCCAGGAGTAGCCAGTCCTTAGAAATGCTGGAAAAGGTAAAGGGTCAGAGAAAACAGAGGAAGACTCTCAACAAAATGTACTGATCGAGTGGTGATATTAATGGGGTCAAGCATATGGGAAATCAAAAGGGAGGTACAAAATAAGAGCAAGGTTGAGATCTATTGTTCCTATGGTCGTTATGAGTCCTAGTTGACTCAATGGCACTTAACAACATCTATCTCACTAATTCTATTTATCCACAGAGCTCCAAAACACATACAAATAAAAACACCTCTTCTATTTAACTTTCTAAATAAATTTTCTTTTTCTACTCCTGGAGAAAATAAAAAGCAAATGATTACCATCCTCCATAAAAATGTTTTATTAATTATGGATTAACTAATATACACTTCAGCTTTTATTTATAGATAAGACTACATAAATAGAATAGCAATAAATTACATATAAATTACATATTTTACTAGAAATTATAAATCAATTATTATGAATAAATTATCTGCAGCAAGACTTAAAATTACAAAATCAATTCTCTGATGTTTATTTATTAAAGTGGAAAAAATGGAAAGAATAATGAAGGAGGGGAAAAGAAGGAAAAAATTAATAGTAAGCAAGAGAAAAGTAATTTTTACAAGGAAAGGGGAAAAAATCACATTGGAACTACATATAATTAATAAAAAAACTGTGTGAGTTAATAAAAATACAAAGACCATTAAAAAAAGACAATCTTTAATAACCCCACAAAATTTTTCTTTTGCTTTTAGTGCACTTAGAACAGATGGAAATTGGCTAGAAGCTCATGCATAATCATTATACTACTTCTGTTTGGTAAATTATAAAGTGTGCACAGGCAACATTTAGAAAGTTACTTAGGAATTTATTAAAATTAACATGCTATTTTAGTGAAGCCAAACTACTTACTTGGGTCTTGTCTACAAGAAGCTAATGCTGAAGTGCTAAAAGACTTTGCAAAGTCTTGCTTATGCTGGTTTCTAAATGCACCTGTCTAAAAGCAGTATTTAATATTCGGAAATACTACAAAATAGATTCCTAAAAAGAGCTTAGTAAAATTGCTTTAAAAGGTTTACTTTACTTTTAAAAGCATCTGTTGCTCCAGGTGCATGGTTTTTGTCTGGATGAAACTTCAAAGCAAGCTTTCTATAAGCTTTTTTCAAATCTTCATCACCAGCATCTTTTGTAACGCCAAGTACTTCATAGTAATTTTTACATTTGTTTATGCTGTGAACAAGAAAGTGTGGTATAATGTAAATGTTAAGGAAGAACTTCATGTAATATTATCTCTAAGTTTTAATTTATTATAATAGCATAAAGAACTATCTCTGGTGGTCTGTTTTAGCATCATCAATTTAGAGCTTATCCCTTTAAGGGTTAAGTGCTGCTCTACTTTCTCAGCCACAGACCAACCCTCCATATTCTTCCCAGTGTAAGGACAACTGGCTATGAGAATAAAATGCCTTTGCTGAAATGTATCACATACAAAGAAGCAAAGCCAAGCCCACAAAAACTGTACATGAAGGACAAAACATACACTGTAACTAACATCAGAGAAAGAAAACTGTTTATTTGTACTCTTTAATAAATGCATAAAAAAATTCCAAATTCTTTACAAATATGTCACACTCAAGATTTAATATATATATATATTACACTCCGAGAACTTTTCTCTCAAAGTGTAAACAAGTATCAAGCAACAGGTTAGTGCATATAATTGCAGTATCTTATGGCTTAAATATCAGGTTAAATTAATTCAGTCTATACTTAAGAGAATCTGCGTCACTCTGAAAAAAATAAAAATCTCACAATAAAATATATTGTACAACACAAAAATACTTGTTATTCCTGGTTTTCATTATGGTAAGCACATTCTTAAAGATTACTTACAGAGTCTATAACTGTAGCAGATTTAAGCTGGGGCTGTTTAAAACAGAAAAGAAATACACTGAACGGAAGTCAAATATTACATATTTTTGGATGTTAATGTTCTGTTCTCTCATAGCCTAATAATTTCCATTCACTAAGTTTCATAGTACTTTTTGTTTTTTTGGTGGCACAGTTTGTGATTTTAGATTTGTTCCATGCAGGGATAAGTTGAGGACAAAGGTAGTAACAGGTGGAAGGGCCTGAAGCATAACTATTCCCTGGCAACAAAAGAATTACAAAGACTGACTCAAAGTTTAAAGAACAAAGTCTAATTTTTTTAAAAATATTGAACCTATTAGACATAACAATGCCTGGCACATGATCAGTTCTCAGTAAATTATTTTGGGAGATAGATGAGACTTTTACAATGCAAGCCATTAGTTATTTGCTATATGAATAGGGGTGGGAAAGAAGACATTATTTAAGAGTATCCACATTATAAAAAATCTGTTATATAGCACTTATATAAAAATAATAGTAATCATTAAAATTGTATTTATCGGGGAGCTCTGGTGGCCTAGTGGCAAGGAGCTGCAACTACAATCCCAGAGACACACGGTTCGAATCCACCAGATGCTCTGCCGGGGAAGGAGGGGCAATCTCCTCCTGTGCCAGTCAGATCTGATTTGACGGTACACGCACACAAAAATAATAAAATAAAAATTTAAAAAAAAAGATATAAAAAAATTGTATTTATCTACTTTAGATACATAACATTAACATAATGCCATTTTATTTGAAAAACATGCTAACTTCTTATAATGGGTATAAAATACTTACTGACCAACTACATCACTAGAATGCCAACTATGTCCCAGAGTTCTGGATACTTGTGTTGCATCAATGAACAAAGCAGAGAACAATGCCTGTCTTTTTTTTTCTTCCTGTGTTTTTTTTAGAGAGACTAACTCTCCTAGATATGTTTAGAGACAATGTGACAGAAAAAAAGGTGGGAGGCATTTATACAACACCTACTGTGTGTCAGGTACAGGTCCACAATCCCATATCCATGTTCCAAAATCCATAAAGCTCTGAAAAATGAAAGTTATTCTATAACTATTTGACTGAAAAACCTGACTTGAACTCTTTTAGAGGCAAAATCTAACCTAAAGAGATGTGAAGTTTCCTATCTTTATTTATCCTATTAAAGTGTGAAAATTTGTATATTTTGCTGTAGAAATGTTACTATCTGATATAGGCTGCCGCCCTAGACTGTGCTAAGATGTTATGTAATGTATAATATGATCTTAATTACCTTTCCAATGTATGAAAAAAAAAATCTAAATTCCAACATAGATAAAAACATTTCATAGAAAGAATTATAGAATTTGATATGCTGATTATTTTATAGTAACTGTGTCATTGGATAGCAATTTAATGCACAGGGAAACAGAGGTTCTGAGTGGTTAAGTAAACTGCTAAATATAAAAAACTAATAATAGATGACCAGAAAGATATAATTATTCAATATAATTTTACTGAGCAATACTTCTCTGCTAAGCATTGTTTCAGATGCTATAGCTATATAAAAAAGCGGACAAAATTCCATGTTCACTTTAAATTTACAACTGGGGGACAGCCAGTAAGCAAACATGTAAGTAAAATATAAAGTACATTCTATGGTGTTAAGTATTTGAAGAAATTAAAAGTGTTAAATGGGGAACTAAAAAGGAGGCCTGCTATCATAAATAGTGTGATCATGAAAGGTCTCATAAGGAAGGATTTCAACATCAATTTACCTGACATTGAAACCCTGCTGTTTCAGAACTAGAATGAAGGAAAACAGTTCAGACTCCTTAGGGATCATTCTCTCTCTTACTATCTGTACCTTATCATGGCTAAAGTGACTCTTTTTAATCCTATATATTTATTTGCAAACATTGTTTCTGAGGCCAAGAACATCCCTTTTCTGTCTTCCTTTTTGCTTAAACATTTTCTACAAATTATTCAGAAATTACCTTAACTCTTGACAACAACCCAAATTTCTCAAGACTAGGTTTAATGTATCATATGTGCCTAAAACCCTCTGAATTGAAATCATATGTTTTGGATGGACAGATGGATGGATGGATGACTAGCTTAATTAATACTGTCATGAAATGTAGTTGAGGTCAACTTAGGTTAGAGAAGAACTAAATAGAAATGAAAAAGACTGTGGAACAAGAATCACAAAGCTAAAAATACAGCAGACACTACCTGAAGGGAGAAAATGGAAAAAAGGTAATGATAAAGTTATCTTTGGTTTGAATGCAAATGTTTAATGTTTCTGTTGTTGTTGCTGATTGCCGTCGAGTCGCGCAAAACTCATAGTGACTCTAGGAACAAAAGACCTGAAGTCTTTCTATAACTATCACCATTTCTCAAAGTTCATAGAGTTTCCAGAGGCATGCTGTTTAGGAAGTGGATGCCACTCCTGCTTCCAAATGTTTAGTCAGGTACCAGATTAATCCTCTAAAATCATGTTATGTCTATACTTCCAAAACATAAGAGGCCAGGAGAAGAGGTGCTTGATAGTAAGCCGGAATGCACAGTCCTATAGCAATAAAGATGATATATGCCACCAACAGAAAAAAGAATAGATTGAAAAGCACTTATTTCAGTAATCTTTACTAATATGTAGCACTACTATATTTTTCTGTACTAAATTTTTGGTCATACACTCACAGACGAAATTCTTTGAGAAGCTGTTATCATTAGTGAACATCCTAATGACTATATCAAGTAACTGCTTCAAATATAACCTAAATTTCATACTTGATTGATAAACTACCATTAATTTTAACGATGTCACAGATGGTTTTTTGGTTTTGTTTTGTTTTTATGTTATTTTATTTTTTTTGGTCACATCTGTTTATTTTTTTTAAAAAAAAGTCAACTTTCGGAAAGATCAAACCTTCTTCTCTAAATAAAAAATATTGAATCCACTCACTCTCGCTGATGGAAATACTGTGCAAGAAGGTACAAAATATGTCTGAAGAAGGTCAACAATAGAGTATACCTTTTATTTCTTCCTTTATGTGCATAAAAACATAATAGCTGAATAGGAGAGTTATCTTCCATAACTGTCTTTCAAGTATAAAATATTTTAATAGATTCATAGTTTAGTTACTTGTTTATTTCTGATCCAATTAGTTACTTGTTTATTTCTGATCCAAAAGATTATTTGAATAACAAGTATGCCAAATGATTCACTTTCTTTTTAATTAAGAAATTGGTGCTTAAATAAAAATCTAATTTCAAATCAACCTAACTCAAATGACTTTGCAGTTGTACAGAAGTATACCTAATTAATAAATAAGATGATGGCACAGGAAATTATTTCATACTGATCTTAGATGCTTTAAACAAAAAACAGTCCTTTTCCAAATGAGATATTAAAAACTTCCTTAAATTAGGTTCATGATACATTTTCTCAATTATTTTTCCAATGTATTTAAACTACAGGAAAATAAATAGTGCTCTGCTTCTCAGAATGTCAGTTTTATAAAGTTATATACTTTTTTCCCAGCCTTTACTGTACAGCTAGATCTTACTTATGCAATGGATGTAGTATTATTGCAAGGCTTCTCCCATTGAGCCAACGTGTTACCGAGCAACTTGTTTGCATAATAGTGCTAACCAACAAGATAACATGGCTTTCTTCACAAAAATCCCTTGTGTATAGATAAAACAAAAACACACAGTACATGTTAGTTATTGCTCCACTACCACATTAAAGCAATACTTACAGAGAATTAAAATGAATAATGATTCTGCTAAGGAACTCTTCTGTAAGGTACTGACTAAAGCACAAAAGTTTATATTACTCAGAGATTCTACTGGAATAAGTACTGCCAGAATGTTCCTTATAAACAAGGATGGGGAGACTTCCACTCTTACATTTGGACATGGTGCCAGGACAGATCAGATCCCTGGAGAAAGACCTCATGCTTTGTAAAGCAGAGGGTCAGAAAAAAAAAGAGAAGACTTTCTATAAAATGGACTGACACAGTGGCTGAAACATGTTATAACAGCAGTAATTGCAAGGATAGCACAGGATTGGGCAGTGTTTTGTTCTGTTGTACAAAAGTTCATCTACTTGACAGCATCTCACAACAAAGATTCTAATAAACAGTGTTCTAACTGTACTTAATTGCCAAAGGGGAAAAAAAGCTTTTGGTTTTTTTAAAGGTATAATCAAATTACTGACCAGTAATCAATCTCTAATAACTGATTAAGTTGTGTGTTTGTTGGTTTTTTTTTTTACCCACATGGAACATATGGCCTCAGAGTTGGCTGGGCTCTAAAAGCTAATCAGCAATCCTTTCATTCCATCTGCCTTTTCTCTCTGCAACAATTTTAAACTTTACCACTTTAAAACTTTCAACCTCACTTCTTTTCTCCTAACTCTCAATAACTTCATCTCCTATTTTACAGAAAATACAGATACCGAAAGACAGACACTCTTTCAATGTTTTATTTTGTATCTGCTCCACTCTGGCAACAGACAGAGTGTACCTGCACCCACCATTATCCTTATTCTTCCACCCTCAAGATGTTACTAGTGCAAAGCTAGGTCTTGTGAAATACATGTATTACATATATACTATCAATAGTAAAACAAAAACACCACTGCTTCTCCCTCTAATTCCTATCACATTTTTGGACTGCTGCTTTTTCCCTTTCAAAGCAAGCCTTTAAGACAGAAATTACAAAGAAAAAAAATATTAAGCACTTATTATATATGCATACATTCTTTATCAGATTCTAGAAATTCTTATTCTCCAAAACTATTAACAACAGTCTTTTTCATAATGTCCAAAATATATATGATTCTTCAGCCTTTCTAAAGCGATAATCATTAAATGATTCTAATTAAAAACAATATATAATCTTCTGTAATATTAGTTTAGTTCTTTCATTGAGAAACTGTTCTCACAATATACAGTAAGACTTTTAAGAAAATACAATATTAGAATGTGGTTTCTAGGAATATCTTTTAGTACACTGCTTATTTATAGATTCTTCTGAAAAACATTTAGAAGATTCTCCTTTATTCAGACACCTCTCACAAAGTACTACAATTATGAAAACGGTTAGCTGTATAATTTATGATTTCAAAGTGCTACCATTCATAGTAGTCAAATATTCTTTACAACAACTTTACTAATACTTATTGTGTTACCTGGAAATGGAGGGTCTACCAACTATAACTGAAAAAACAAATCTTGGAGAAATAAAGTGAGGTGGGAAAAGTAGAAGTTTTATTATACCCCAGTACATGGAAGAAGACTTAAGAACTTCTAAACCTGTCTCCTCTTGTAGACAGCATAGCCTTATTAAGTAAAAGGACAGAGAAGGAGCATTAGAAAATTTGTCACAGTATCTTCTCTTCTCCAGGTGTTCAGACTAATTGGTCCAATTTTGTTGAGGCTCTAGAGATAGCTGATGCCATGCACAGCTTATGGCTTACTTAAGGAGAAGTTATTAGCTACAGACAGCAGGAATAGACTGGAAATGACAGGGCTGAAGCGGCTATAGATTATATACAAGAGTAGATAGACAATGTCAACAAAAGAGTTTTACTTAATTTTATAAGGAAATTTTAATTACTCTGCTAGACAAAGAGAAAGACTTTTCCTTTTAAGACTTTATAAAAAGAATGTTATTCTTAAATTAGGTAAAGTACTTTGAGAGGCCAGTATCCATTAGTTGAGAAGTTGGTCTCCTCTCATTATTTCCATAAGCTGGAAAGTCCTTTTGTTTGAAGTATTATATGATAGTAGTTTTCTAATACCTTATTGTCAATTTCAGTCATTGAGGATTTTTTTTTCTTGTGAGTCACATTCAAATAAAGTGGAATAATTAACCTTTACTCCAACTCCACTGCCATCAAGTCAATTCTGACTCAAAGTTGTTGTTGCTGCTGCTGCTGTTGTGTGCCATCAAACTGGAACCAACTTACAGCTGACACTCCAGTGGGTTTTCAGAAGCAATAATCACACAATAGGAGACTGCCCATCTTACCCTGCAGAGAAGCTGGTGGATGTGAACCACCTATCTTTGTGTTGCCGGCGCATTCCTAACAATAAAATAGAGTAGAAGTGTCGGACAGGGTTTCCAAGGCAGTAAACCTGCAGAAACAGACTGCTACGGCATAGCAGCTAGGGAGTCCAAACTGCCAACCTTTTCATGGTTAGCAGATGTGCTTCTGAGCATTTGGTTTTTATTTAATTTTATTATATTTTGGCGTGTATCATCAAATCAGATCTGACTGGTACAGGAGGAGATTGTTCCTCCTTCTCCAGCAGAGCATCTGGTGGATTCGAACCATACACCTCTGGGAATGCAATGCAGCTTCTTGCCACAAGGCCACCAGAGCTCCCTAGCAGACATGCTTTTAAACGATTGCACAACCAGGATTACGTCAATCAAATTTTATCATTTCAATATACAGAAAATGAAAAATTATAAATGCATTAGTAGTTTACTTAAAAATTAAGATTCGAAAAAATTTAAAAAAATTAAGATTCGGTGATCTATCACTTCCCTTAATAAGTAAAATCATTATTTTAAAATATACCTTAATACAAATTAAAAGGAAAAAGGAATGTACTAAGAAATTAGGATGAGAAAAATAACTCTGCTTCAGTGTTTTAGTTTTACTTCTGAGCAAGGTTAATAAAAAGGAAGGAGAAAATAAAACTAAAAGAGAAATAGTCAAAAAAGAAAGAGGCTTAGATTATGACCACGTTAACCTACACTTCACCTCAGCTAGTGCTCTTCCAAAGTTTCAACTAATTCTTGTTCAGAGTCCTTCATCCTTAACTCCATTTTTTCTATGAAAATATATAAAAGGCCCCATTTCCCTTAAACTATAGTGGGAAACAAAACAGTTTTAGTTTTGTTTATTTCACTAGCGTTTCACAGTCACATTCACTTAACATATAGAAAGAGTTGTTTTGGTTTGGTTTATAAATTTATAAAATTAGTAATGCCAGATCCCTAAAACCCAGTTATAATTATTTAATTCTACCTAATTCTTCTGCTTTAAGAAGTTGACAATGAGGTAGGACAAAGCCAGGGAGGCAAAACAAATAGAATAAAAAAGGTATTACAAGTAAAGACATAATTATTGCTTTTGCATATATAATAAAAGATAGCATTGAAGACAATAAACAGAAAACAGTAAACAACTATTAATATGAATGAAGACTTAAAAATACTCTTCCTTTTACGCTCAATTTTTCTATTTTTTACACTTGCATCATCATTCTTCACTTTCTCTCAATATTACTGTCTAAGTACTGTACTGTGCTAATACTTTAAGTTTTCTTTTTTAAAAAAAATTGGAAGTATCTTTGTGCTTTACAGTTGTTTCCAAACCTGAGTTGGCAAATTATAAATTTAAAGAATATGGTGTATAAATAAGATTTTAATTCCTCAATCCCTTTTTGTACCTAGTGAATTAGGATGCAAACACATTTTTCTTTTTTCTTTTTTTTTTATGTGTGTACCATCAAATTGGATCTGACTGGTACAGGAGGCGATTGTTCCTCCTTCTTCAGCAGAGCATCTGGTGGATTTGAACCGTGCACCTCTGGGATTACAGTGCAGTTTCCTGCCACTAGGCCACCAGAGCACGCCACATTTTTCAAGTTGTACATAATAAAATTTATATGAATACTAGTTATAGTTGAAATATAAATCGTATTTATCCCTACCTGAGAACTCCATCTATTTGATCTTTGGTGTAGCCTTTTCCACTTTCACCACTACCCGATGTGCTGTCCTTTGTGCAGTTAGTCTTGTTCTGAACACCACCACTTGATGATTTTCGGCAATGAGGGCTATTTCCAGCTGTGCTTCCATTTTTCATAATTATTTCCAATAGTGCTGTAAAAAGATCCAGAAAATACATTGTGCTTGCTTATATCAATGTACCTTAGTACTTTGAAAAGATGGTTATAGAGCAACTAAAATTTAAAACTATGTTCTCAAAAAAAAAAATTACAATAGGTTCTTTCTAAATAGCAAGCATTCTTTTATGTATTTAATTATTTACAGATCACTAACCACCATTTAGAAGTAGATATTAAGAGAGTTAAAACTAATTATTTGAAATTAGTATCACGGAATTATTTGACTCATCATATTACATTGAAACTATAAAATATCAAAGAAAAAATGGTCAACTTAAAATTACTCAATGAGAGGAGTGATAGGGAATGGCAAAGGACACTGACAAAGGAGATTAATCAGAACTGGCTTTGACAAGCACTGTGGCAACTGGACCATTAAAACAGACATTGTGGGGGAGAAGAACGAACTGGGGGGGAGAGTGACAAGCACTGTGGCAACTGGACCATTAAAACAGACATTGTGGGGGAGAAGAACGAACTGGGGGGGAGAGAGAGAATAGTGCAACAATGAATGAATGAAAACCCAAAATCTCTGTAAATGTTCATTAAAACTAATAAAATTTAATAATAATAAAAAAATTACTCAATGAGATCATCAATTAACAAAACAAGACTTTATTTCTGAACAATAAAAGCAGCAGAGACAATGGAATATTTTTCAAAACATTCAAAGATAATAGCCATCAACTTGAATTTTAACTACTTTTCTGGAAAGAGTAAATTAAAATAATTTTAAGAAAAACAGATGCTAAAATACTTTTACTAGAAGATACTATAATCTTTATATTTCAGGATAAAGAAAAATGCTGAAAAATGCTGTAATTTAAGAAAGAAAGGTAAGCAAAGACTGCGATTAATGTGTAAGCAAATCTAAACTAATGCTGAATGCAAGAAACAATAACAATTATTCTGGATTTGCTCTAAAATAGTTTGAATACATGGAGTAAAGAGATGCATAAAGTAAGATTTGGTTCATGGTTAAAAATAGAGGAAAAAGTTTAAACTAATTACTCAAACTCATTTTGTGTGTGCTTGAAAATTTTCCATAATAAAATATAAATCTAAACATAAAAAAGTTTAACAGAACTAAAGGGAAAAATCGAAGTAGAAACTGAGATGATTAAAGCTAATAATTTGAAATTATCATCACAAAATTATTTTTACTTATCATATTGCATGAAGTTACAGATTAGCAAAGAAAAAGGACGACTTATGTAAGATATGTAAAGAAGTAACTAACATCAAAATCCCAAAAAATTAAACACATCGCTATGAAGGGAGTTTCAACTCATTTAGACTCTATAGGACAGAGTAGAATTGCACCATAGTGTATCTAAGGCTGTACATCTTGACTGAACCAAAGCGACACATCTTCCACTCATGGGACAACTGGTGAATTCAAAGCACAGATATTCTGGTTAGCAAGTTGAGCTCTTTAACTATTGCATCTCCAGGGCTCCAAAAAAACTCAGACATACACAAAAGCACTAAGGATATGGATAACATAAATACCTAATCTAGTAAATTTAATCTAGGAGATTCTTTTTTTTTTAACAATGTTCAGACAGATCTTGAAATGTTCTTTGTGATATCTGGTATCATTTCTCTTTATTATGTCATTCCTCTCACAGTAGATCATACAAAGAATGTGATACCAAAAAAGAAAAGGAAAAAAATAAAGAAAAAGAATGTGAAACCAGGATTGGAGGGAGTCTAGCAACAACCTGCAATATGCAGAAGACATGCACTTGATTACTTGAAGCACTTACTGAAGAAGATCAAAGACTACAGAGTTATTCTTATGGATTGCACCTCAACAAAAAGAAAATAAAAATCTTGATAACTGGACCAATAAGCAATACCAAGATAAACAAAGAAACGGTCATCAGCGCTGTGCAGGAGAAAAATGGGCAATCTCCTCTCAGGCAATAAACTGCCTCTGACAATCCTCTGGAGAATCAGGTGTGGTGCCAACTCGATAGTACAAAACAACAAGTCAGTCAGACACAGAAATATATTCCACGGAGAGGGGCACGATGCTGGGAAGAGTAGAGGGTTGGCAAATGAGAGAAGATCCTTAACTAGATGAAATGACACTGTGACTGCTGCAATGGGTTCTTGTGTGTCAGGAAGTATGGGGATGGCACAGGAAACAGGGTTCAGATCTTTTGTTCATAAGGTCACTCAATGGCTCCTAACAATAGCAAGTCAAGTACAACCCACAGCAATCCCATGAACAACAGATCTGAATGCTGTCCTATGCAGTGCCATTCTAAAACTTCCTGACACATCAGAGCCCATTGTGGCAGTCACACCGTGTCAATGAATCTGATCAAGGGTCTTCCTCTCTTTGGCGACCCTCTACCTTCCCATCATGTCCCTCTCCAAGGACCAACCCCTCCTAACAGCATGGCTCATCATTTTTGCCTCCAAGTAGCACTCCAGCTGCACCCCAAGACATATCTGTTTGTTCTTTTGGCCGACCATGGAATGTTCAACGCTCTTCCCCAATATCACAGCTCAAAGGTATCAATTCTTCCTCTGTCATACTTATTCAGTGTCCAGCTCTCAGATAAGAAAGACAATGGCCTGAATAACACACACCTAAGTCCTCAAACAGACATTATTACTCCTCAATAACTTGGAGAGATCCATAAATGTAGACAATCCCTGTGCAATACATTTCCTGATTTGTTCTTTTTAAAAATGTTTTATTATTATTAATTTTAATGAATATTTACAGAGATTTTGGATTTCCATTCATTCATTGTTGCACTTTTCTCCCTGCCCACCCCTCCCCTCCAGTTCCCTCTTCTCTTTGAAAAGTAAAACAAAAATTCTTTCATTGTCATACAATCCCTTCCCCAAGTCCACTCCACTGTGCAACCTATATTCTGCACTCCTGTCATGACAATATACTTAATCATATATCCCTTTTAAACAGTTCTCTCTCATCTATTTCTGATTTGTTCTTTTGGTGATGATGTAATTCAATGTTCTTGATCACCACCACAATTTGAATGCATCATTCAACTTCATGCAAAAAAATTACCACACTGAAAAAAATACTGTACACTTTGATCTTCAAAGTGGCTTTCTCGCTCTTTATCACTTTAAAGAGATCACTGGTAGCAGATTTGCCAATGCATTATATGTTGTTAATTGTTTCTATAATGCAGCCTTTTATTCAGTACTGCAAATACCATAAACCGTATTACAGGCTTTAGTAGGATTACCTGTCAACATAAAGAAAACTAAAACCTCACCATTGGACCAATAATCAGAGAAAAGGCAAAGGTGCAAAATATTTAATTTTCTTTTGATCCACAATCAATATCTGAATATCAGTAATGGCGGTTTTTGCTAATATGGCAATGTTGTGTACTGTTGTTGTGAGATGGAACCAACCCTTGGCTGACCCTCCAGTAGGTGTTCAAGAGCAGCAAATCACACAGGAAATTGCCCATCCTTCTACAGCAAAGCAGCTGGTAGATTCAAACTGTATATGAAATTGAATGTGAATTTGCATTGGCAGTGCGATTCCTTACCACTGTGGTGGCCTAGTGGTAAGGTGCTGTGCAGGAATCTCAAAGGCACACAGTATGAATCCACCAGCTGCTCCATGGAAAATGGATGAGTATCTCCTTCTGTGTGATTTACTGTCACTGAAAATCCACCGGAAGGTCAGCTATGGGTCAGTTCTGACTTGAAGGCACACATCAAGCCACCAGAGTTCCCTTTTTGCTAAATTTAGCAAGCTGGATGAGTATAAATTAATGAAACCAAAGCAAACAAACAACTACCACTGAGTTGATTTTGGCTCACAGTGAGCCCACACTGTATTTTCAAGGTTATAAATTTTATATAAGAAGACTTTCTTCCATGGAGCATCTAGTAGATTTAAACTGTTAACTTTTTAGTTAGCATCTCAATATATTATCCATTAGGCCATCAGAGTTCCTTTTACTTTCTTGAAAAGGGGATAAAATAAAAATACAGAATGAAGACTGGTTTGTAATTTCAGAAAGAAAGACTTATGCAGGATTATAAACAAATAAAAATTCATTTAATAGAGGACAAGACATTAACAAGAAATGTCTCCAAAAGAAAGACTTTATTATTTAATAAACAAAGTCTGAAGTTCTTAACCTAGAATCTCCACATGATCTACACACTGACATGAAGAATTCCCTGAATTGCAAACAAAACATCAAGTATATAAGTTTATGTTTATTTTTCTATTATAAAATAAGAATCCAAAACATTTACTACAGTTTCAAATGAGTCTTTGTTAAAACTACTGCTCTAGAATGATGGTGCTTTACAAACATGGAATAAAAGGAAACTTGTTATAAACTAAATCTATCTTTTCTTGGAACGGCAGATTCTAAGCTTCCAGTGAAATTATATTATAATAAATATAACAAGAATCAAGAAATAAGTGTTACACAATAGTGAGATTCCTACAGGTAGTTTCATTGGAGTAAAGTTTAATTAAAAATAAGTGTTATACTTATAAATGAAAAGTGTTACACTTATGAAAAAGAAGTGTTACACAATAGTGGTAGTCCTACACGTAGTTTCATTGAGTAAAGTTTAATTCTAAAATCTGTATGAAGGGTGGAGAAAAGATTCCAAATGAAAGAAAAGGAGACAATGAAGTACACTATTTTAAACAACTCAAGAGACTAACAAACCCTCGGCAACTGATCTCATTGTCATTCATGAAGATTTAATATTGCTTTTCAAAGAATTTGCTTTTCCATTCTCTTCAAAATTAAAAGTCCATAACAATGTTAACTCCAACAGTCACCACAAGGACAGTGAAAGTTTATCTCACATACTTTGTGAATATTGTCAGGAGGGTTGAGTGCCTGGAAAAAGGCATTATATGCTGGGAAAGAAAGAAGGTCAGTGAAAATGAGTCCATTTTGTTCAACATGGACTGATAAAGTGACTGTAATAATAGAGGGG